TAATGTATGTTCAACTTGTTTTAATTTAACAATTGTTTGTTTTTCCATAACTTTTAATGCTAATGATTGATTATTACGTTGAACAATCATAACACGACCAAATGAACCTGTACCAACTGTACGTTGTAATTTAAAATCATCTAATTTAGCTGTTTGTTTAGCTGGTTGTGAATATTTTGTATCAAATTCTTCTTTTGCACGTTCAAGATAGGCAGTAACTTGAGCATCAATTTGGGCTTGAGTTGGATTCGTCATTGTAGTATTTGTTGTAGATGATGCTGCATTATTACCCATCGTTGGTATTTTTTTTTTATTTATTTTTCTCTATATCTATTATGTCTAATATAGAAACAAAAAGACTTAACGGCCTTGCATTTCTCATAAGAGACTTAAGGCAAACGTAGGACTGCAAAAAATAGAAAAATGATAATATTACTTATGTTATGTCGCCAATTTGATTGTTTCGACAATCAGTCTCACCGGAAAATAAACTGTCTATCATACAAAAAAAGAAAATATTTTCAAGGCTAACATAAGTTCCCTAATTGTCATATTACTCTGGTATTCATCTTAGAAAAAGAAAAAAAAGACAGATATTTTTTTTTTCCTATACACTATATGTAGTAGTTTGTCTCCTAAGCGGTCTGTTTCTTTGCCTGTCGTCTGTCTATTTATTTATATTGAGTTTTGCTGTGTTGTTTTGTTCTGTCATGTTCTTATACGTCAAAATGCCTTGGATAAGATGCTATCACCCATTAATATATTACTCTAGTCGAGCCATAATCTCTCTTTTTTTTGCATCAACTATTTCTTTCTATCGTCTTTTTTTCTCCGATGTTTCTATCGTTTAATCGATAACACATTGTCATCATCGAAACTCATCGCCTTGTTCTATATATATATATATATATCTAAATATATATATGTATGTGCGGTGCACAAACGAACGAATATATAATAGATCTCATTTTATTTATTTCGGTACTCTTCATATCTTATTAGGTCGGTATATTTACGAATAAATACTTGATAACATTACAATAAATTATAAATGAGACATAAACAGAACATCAGCAATTATTTTAGAAAGGAATATGTATAATAAAAGAGATGAATTAAACTAAAATGATTATATAGATGATAAATCATATGTTTTTAGTTCAATAAAAGACACAAGAAAAATTATTATCTAACTATTGGTTTTTTTTTAAAGAAAGAACAAATGATAAATCATATATTACAAATCAATTGAACACGTTTGCATTACTGATAGAATTAGAATGCAAGAGAGAATAAAAGAAACAAAAAAGAGAATGTTTCCTTCTGCCTGTCCTTTGTTTCTGTTAGAAGAAAATTCACTTATTAGTCTCTTTTTTTTCCTTGTCGTTCGTCTTTCAACAGCTCTTCATACATTTCTGATGTTGATAGTGAATATTTCTTGCTTGCATATTTGTTTTCTACCATAAACCATTTCTTTCTTCGTCTTCTTTTTTTTTCTCTTTATTTTGTGGATATAGTATATATATATATAACTTTGTCACAATACATTGTGATTAACTCAAAGAAAAACAAACATTCTTCTGTTATACTGTCACACTATTTGTTGACATCAACAAAGAAAATAATGAGAATTGGATTCATAGTCAATTAGCTGATCGAAAGAGAAAATAGACACAACAAATCAATAACGGAAACTCAACATAATGACAATGATAGAATAGGATATTAATTATGATAAATGGTTAGAATATTATTATGACCTACCTAATGTATTTGCCTGCTGTTTTTTTTGGCATACCTGACTAAAAAAAGATTCTTGTGACCTTGATACTAATTATGTGTTGACGAAAAAAACAAAAAAGAAATGTTGATTTTAGTCAGCTACAAGACAATAAAAAGAGGAATGCATGTTTATAGAAGATTCTTTCTGATAAATAAATCTAGAAAAAATAATAACATATTTATTTGCTTCTATTTTTAACTATAATTCTTATCTAAATTTAAACTTGATAATATTGACTGTCGTTCAGTTGAATATCACGTACACATGTTATTTAAATGTTTTAATAATAAATAAAAACATATCAATGTATGTTGTCATGTCTTTTATTATTAGAAATAATATTAAATTTATTTAGAGACAAAAAAAAAATGAAATTCATACTTTTCTCCTTTTGTTATTCAATATATTCTTTTTATTGAAATTCAAAAAAAAAAAAAAGAAAAACAAAAGTATCTATATTTAAACTAATAATTGATCATTGATTTTTTTTTCTTATGTCCTTCTAAAGAAAATAAAAGAGAATTAAAAATAAAATTTTTTTTTTTTTTTATTACCTAAAATCATTTGATTTTCATTAAATAAATCATCAATTGAATGACATCTAAGCAGAGAATAAAAATATATATATATATATCTATCTTTTATTTAAAATAAATATAAACATACTTTTTCTTTGATTTACATTGTAAACAAATATCAAATTTTAAACAACATACAATTAAAACCATTAGAATAATAATAATCAAAGCAATTATTGATTGAATAGCTTTTGAACTTACTACAAAAAAAAGCCCAAATTTTCTTGCAATAATTCAAATATTATTATAAATTATTTAATAATAACTCACATTGATCACATTTTCGACCACGATATAAAAAATTACATCGACATCGATATGTCAAACCAATATTCATACATTCACCACCACGACCACATACATGTTTTTGATAACAATGATTTTGAACTAAAATAAACATAATTCTTTCAAGATCAAATCATTTGTAGAATCTTTCTCAAAGACTACATAAGGATCTTATTAAGTAGTAAGAATTGTCGTTAATTTTTACGAGAGAATCACTTGAATTGGTATCCACCGTTTGAGCTCATATTGGATCGACAACGATGTCTTGATCAAACTAACAAAAGTTTAAAAGAATTTGTCTTTAGAACTGAGTGTGCTTTCGGTATATACCGAAAAATAAAAAAGCAGAATTTCGGTGTAGATCTGCTTTTGATATTCTTTTATTCAGCTTATGAATAAAATCCTGATCAACGTTGATTAAAAAAATATACCCTGATAGCAAATCGACTTAATTCAAAACTTTCATTATAATGAGCATCATATTTTAGATTAAAACAAACATTCTATAAAAATATGTGTACATCAAGTTATATCTTGCGTATTTAAATATTCTTTTTTTTGATGTTATTCATATTTGAGTGTTGAGAAATGAAATACTATTTTTGTAAGAAATATTACAACGCATTAAAAATATGAGAGAAAAAAAAAAGCCTTCTCCAATTACTGTTAATCGTGACTGTCTATACTGCGTCCACGCTTCGATGTTTTTTCCGACACAACACGCAATCTCTTGTCAAGAGGATTTTTTATTTTTTTTTGGAAAAAAACTCTCGGAAATTTCAGTTGATAAGAACTCTTTACTTTGGAGTTATCTCGAGTATATAATTCTAAAGATTGTCTCTACTATCGATTAATAAAATCTATTTTTCATTTAATAGAAAAAACAAAAGTTCAAATCGACCTAACGTTTTATTAATAAAAACAATATTTAATTAATGATAATAATACTCTTTTTTTTTGTATGTCTTACCATATTTACAAATAAATCGTGCTTCATCATTAAAACAATCTCTTCCTTCAATAGCAACTTTAGTTCTATTAACAAGATTAATTAATCCACAATGTGATGTTTCTGGTCTATAAACATAAAATAAAGGTCCAAACATAGAATCCCAAAATGTTCGTCCATCAAGCCAATACCATTGACCAATATCACTTGCATTTAAACCAATAAATGCTTGATTAATACGTAATGGTTTTAATAAATTTTCCACAACAAAATCAAGTTCATCATAAGTTTCAAATGTAACTAAAGTTGAATTACGTATTTTTAAACAACTTTTTGATGCTGATAACCATGTTGATTTATTTGAAGATAATAAATAACATGAACCACCATAAAATTGAAAACCAGGAAGACAAACTAAAAAAAAACAAAAATAAAAAATAAAATTCAATATTTAAATAGATAAATATTAACCTGAAATACTTGTATTATATAAATGATCTTGAATTGCTTGTAGAATATCATGAAATTCTGATACTAAATAAATAAATAAATAAATTTTAAAAAAATAGAAAAAAAAAAAAACCCACCCATACCTAAATTATTTTTTAATCGACTATCATCAGTAGTTTTATTTCTTATTGTATAAATTAAATCAACTATTTTATTACTAAATATAGGTTGAATTGTTAATAAAAATATGATTAAAATGAATAAATAATAAAATGATGTAATTCGTTGTTGAAGTTTATTTATCATTTCTATTGCACAATATATCTCAAAAAATGAGTTTGTCGTTTGAACATTCGTGATCGAATGAACTCACTCATAACCTTAAAGAGAAAAGAAAAAAAGAAAAGACAAGAAAGAAAGAAAGAGAGCAATCAACCATGACCTGTATTATTTCAAAAAAAAAAAAAAAAAGAAGACAAATGGTCATACAGATGTGCTCATTCAAGATACATTATTTGATGTTTTCTATTTAAAGGTCATTTGGAGATGACCAGAGGTTATCTTCACGTAAGAATAATGGTCAAGGTAATAAAACGAGGACATATGAACAATTCATCAAGGATTGAATAAATGAAGAATGAACAATTGCATGTTTGTCTGATGTAACTATATACTGATCCTTCGTTGTTCTTTCTTTTTTTTTTTCTTGATACATTATTTAAATATCATTCATTCACATCTAATTATTGCATAAGTATGTCGAATGTTTTGAAATCTGATCTCTATACTTCATAAGTATGAACTAATTGAGTCTTTCGTTTAAGTTATTTTTTTCTTCTTTATTCATATAATACAATACTAAATAAGCGAACGAAAAACAAAAAAACAAACAGAAGAAATTCACCGGTTGTTTTCTTTTTACAAGAAAAAAAGAAAAGAAGTGTTTATCTTTATTTTAATATTTTCTTGGTAATGTTTGTGATAAACCAATTTTATCAAATATACGTTCTAATGTTTTTGATTGATTAGTTTTTGTAGAACATAATCGATGTTTTCTATAACGTTTTAATTGTTCATTATGAATTAATGTATATGCTAATGCCCAACGAAAACGTCTTAATTGTGAGAATTTTTCATTTTCATATGTTTGATTAATATTTTCCATTGTTAATTTTAATTTTAATTTTCTTATATCAATAAGACGTTGTCTTATAATATCAATAAATACATTTAAAACAGGATGTCGTTGATTTCTTTCAATATGAAAAAAACTAACATAAGATGCATATGATGAATCATACATTTCTAAACCTCGTCCATATGCTGAATAATCAAGACGTGCAAAAAAGATTAATGTACAAAAAAAACCTTTTGATATACGTGATAAACACATTATAAAACCAAGAAAACAATCGAAAAAAAAACTAAAATATGAAAATGTATAATAAAGACGAAGATTACGTAATGCAAGTAAATGATTATTTTGTATAAATAATAATTTACATAAAAGACGTACAAATAATAATTGAAATAAAAAGAATATTATCATTGGTAATAATAATTTAGATATAAATTCCAAAATAATTAATGAATAAAATATATAACGAGAAAGAATATAAAATATTGATATAAATAAAAATAAAAATCCATAACTGTAAACTAATGAACCTGAAAAATAAAATAAAACGAAATTTATAAGGAAAAGTTCTAAAATAGTGACTGACAAAAAAAAAAAAGAAATGAATAGTTTATAATTCAACATGATCTTTTTTTATTAGGACGTGATTATTTTCAATAGTATAGAATAATTTCTAGTTGAATTTTTAATAAGTTATAATTCAAGACAATGTATTTTATTCAATAAGATTTTTTGTATTCACCATCTCCTTAAACATTGATTTAGTGTAAGTGCGAGTTCAACAATTCCGAATAAATGTACATCCTTTTATCTGTTTCAAAACATACTCGAGGGAAAAAAATAATCACTTTTGAAATAATTTCTCTAATTAGAACTCTGCGTTAGGTAGGAGTTTAGAGTTAGGATGACGATATGTCAAAAAAATCTCTCTCTGATTTATTCATTTATTTCATGATGTCCGAGAAGCCCCTCAAAATAAAGTAGACCGCAACTGTTTAAAACATTTCTATTTTTGAAGTTTTTCATCAAAGATGAGTAGTTAGGTCCAATCCAAATAGCGATTTGGGTAGCTCTTGAAATTCCCTATCGAATACAATATGTGTCAAATTTTCAAAAGAAATTTTGTGAAGAGAGTTTTCCAGAAAACTGTGCCAGGGGATTTCAAGTCATAGAAAATTTTGACAGAAAGATTTTTCAATATAAGCATCTGAAAGAGCAAAAAATTCTGAACAAAATGAAGGATCGTCCAGCTCTGTACAATTTACTGTCATGAACTTATAAGCATTAGAAAAAAACGTTTTTCGTCGATTTTTATCAAAAAAGGCCTTAAAATTCGATTAAAATCGCATTTTTTCTAATGCTTATAACTTTGTGACGGAATATTGTAAAGAGCTGGGCGATCCTTCATTTTGTTCAGAATTTTCTGCTCCTTCAGATGCTTATATTGAAAAATCTTTCTATCAAAATCCTCTAAGACTTGAAATCCTCCTAGCACGATTTTTTGGAAAACTCTCTTCACAAAGTTTCTTTTGAAAATTTGACACATATTATAATCGATAGGGAATTGTAAGAAATATCCAAATCACGATTTGGATTTGACCTTGCTATTCATCTTCGATGGAAAACTTCAAAAATAAAAGTGTCTTAAACTTTTGCGGTTCACTTTAGATCGTGGATTTCTAAAAACTTTCAACATGCAGGATAAGTTTTCAAGGGAGTGTTTTTGTCTAGTTTCTTATCATTACGTTCTCTATCAACATTTTCTTCCACTGCGATTTCAAAACTTCAGCTGCTGCCGGCTAATCTATGCGCTTATATCTCTATTTATACACTATCTTTGATAAGAAACAATACAAATCTTATTCTATTCTTTAGTACAGATTTATTTCTGATTGCATATTTTGTTTTCTTCTCTTCTCCAAGTTCATATTCATAGTATTAAATACTATATGAATTAGAACCTGCCGGTTTAGTACCGGTCTCGATATCGAAAATTTTTGGCTTGAAAGGATGTAGTCATCTGAAAAAGCTGTTAGCGCAAGTCCTGCAGAATTAAAATGAGAAACACGATATAGCTACTGTTGCTAATCACAGGAAGATTATTTATTCTATCTGTTTTGGAACACATTTCTTCACTATCCTTTTATGCAATAAGTAAATCCCTCCCCGCATTAGAAGACCCCTGACCTTCTATTATGTCCTAGGTTTTTTAGCAATTATTAACTAAATATGGTTTTCCAGAAAGCTAGAGCGATTTTCAAGACTCTCATAGGGATTTCCATGGTTTTGAGAGATACATTTCCACTCACTTTCGAAATATTCCCAGCTGAAAACCTTAAAAACTGTGCACTTCTATACGGAAATTCCCTAATTAAAGTTTCTAATTAGCAAAAAATTAATTAATTAAAGGGGGATCTTCTATTACGGGGAGGAGTTTAGTTCATATATTGTAACGAGACGTTATCGATATACAGTGAGAGGTCCGAATTTTTACCCCTACCCTAGTCGAGACTCCCTAGAAGAATCCCGGGGAAGTTAGTAGGGGATTCAAGGACTCCACAGAGACTTCTCGGAGATTTCCAAGCGACTTTCCAGGGAATTGATGAGTATTATCAGGGTCTCTCCAGAAGCGACCATTGAAATTTTCTGAAAAATTCAAATTTATGAAAATTTTAGAAGGACTTCCCGGGGAGTTTTAGGAAGATCCTGAGATATGCAAATCCTCCGGGGGACTCACGACAGAGATTTCACATTTTTCAGGGAACTCTCCGATGATTTCATTGGGAAGAGTCGACTAGGGTATACTTCCACACATGTTTTTCCAAAATTTCATTTAGAGTATCGAAGTACGGTTCAATGAGATCTAAAATTTTTAGATTTGAATCCGACGAGTTCTAATTTTGAAGTACTTCTCTATATAAAATACGACTTTCTTTTTGCCTATTATGATCCAATAAATTTTCCTAAAAAAGAACTAACGAATATACCCATAAATCGTCCTGGATAATGTATTGATCGACTAATAATTGATACGGATGAAATAGTTTTTGGTTTTGGTATATCAATAAATATTCCTTTATATGCATTACACATTTGCATTTGATAATGTTTTAAACCAAAAAATAATTGTAAACATGTTATAAATGCTGTTAATAAACAAATATATTTAATATCTTGATTAATATGATATAAATTTAAATTATAACATAAATCTTTTGATAAATCAGCTAAACCACATAGAATTAAATTAAGAAATAATAATAATTTTTTTGTTAATATATATGTATGATCTTGAATCCAAAATGTAAAATAATAAACAAGTGTAAATGCACTTGTATATATACATATAATTAATTTTGAATAACGAAAATGTAAACGTATAGAATAAATATATTTTTTAAAAAAATTTATTAAAAAATTTAAACAACGAAATAAACGTGAATATTCATATTGTTGATATGAATGAATAAATTTTGATGATTTTAATAGATTATATTTAACATATTTCCAACGTGGTAATGTTTGTAATGATGATGATTTTTTTAATTTACCACGAAATGTATTTAAAAATAATATTGTTAAACAAACAGCCAAATAAACAATAAAATAATAATATGGAGCATTTCTTAATATATTATATAATATACTTTGTTTATTTAATTCTAATGAATAATTTAAATTTATTAATTCATTTTCAATTTCATATTTATCATCATATGTTAAATTTTCAGGATATTTTTGTATTTTATTATTATACCAATAATGTGTATTTATATATGTTTCATTGAATTTTCCAGTTCGATTCGTACCTATATATATATATATTAAATTTTAATTATATAAGATGAAATTCATCATTTATTCTATTGAACTACCGGGAGTTATCTATTGATAGCATATAATATATTTTAACTGTATCAAACGATAGCTATAGTTCTGAAGAGTCAGTCCTTATAGCAGGCGTGGAACCGGTTGAGAAATATTAAAACGGTCCGGTCCGGCCGGTTGAAAAATCCTACCGGTCCGGTCCGGCCGGTTGGAATCACATGTCCAACCGGTGAAAACCGGTTAAAAAATGTCGAATCTTTTTTTGAAAACCGATTTTTAGAAAAAAATGGCTCCAAATATGAAATAGTTTAAGGCGCAGGTAAAAGACACTCATCGTAATGAACCTTTTTAAAGAGAACCTCAGAAAAAACGATTAATATAACATATATTTTGAGCACTTTTTTACGTATTCTGACAGAAAAAACATGTGACACCTTAGTTTTTATGGTCAAAAACAGGGTTAACAAAGAAGATTTTTGAAAACTTTCAACCGGTGAAATTCCGGTCTTTACCGGCCCGGTTGATTTCTTCAACCGGTCCGGTACCGGTCCGGCCGGACCGGTTCCAACCCTGCTTTATAGAAAAATCCCAATAATTCCCGGAAACTGCTGACCGCACGTATTCAAACTTTGGCACCACCAGCTATGAAATGACCCTGAACTAGAGCTCCATCGTGTCCGGAACCAACTCGATGAGCTCTACTCTGGACAAGTCACTAATGACTGTTTGTCTCAAATCACCCGTTCGATAATATACATTGTTCTCGTGATTAGTTAATGTGTACGAGAAGCTCAAGCAAGAACTTTGCATCAGGCCGGTCTTCTGTTCAGAGCTACAGCTAGTATTAGCTATAGAGAAGTCATCATACTAATGAATCTGTCGAAAGACAGGGATATTCTTTCTTCCTTGTTATAAAAAAAAAAAAAACTTTCTTTTGTTTACTATACATTGTCTTTCTATGTTCATTATAGCATTGAATATCTATCATAGGAAAAAAATTCTATAATTCAATTAAAATAAATATATTTACCTAAATTTGTAATCATATATTGTTTAATATTAATACCCATTTGTTGAAGTTTTTCTAATGTATCTTTAATAATTGATATTTTTCTTTTATCAAATGTACAATTAATATCAGATTGTAATTTAAAAATAATTTCACAATATAGATAAATTGTACCTAAACCATATGATATAAGATTTTCTAAACGATTTTCATAATTATTTTCTTTTTCAAATATTGATAAAATTGGAAAATATCTTAAACCTAACATAAGACCAATACCAAATTGTATAATTAAATCAATTAATGGTCCATGTTGAAAATGTTTAGCACCATTAATTATATATTCATCAAATATATGTAAAATTTCTAATGCTATTATACCAAATACAGCAGCCGATTGAAAACGATAAATATGTGAATGAGAATTAAATATCATAGGTATTGATATATGTTGCCAAAATGATTTAAATGTTCGTTTTTTTCGACAAGAAAAATTTTCAAATAAAATTTGAATTAAAATAAGAATAAATAAAATACATAATGATATATAATTAGCTGGAATTTTATAATATAAATTTAAATTTGTTTGAAATAATTGACATATTTTTAATGTTTTTTCTTTTGTTATATTATGAAATTTTTCATAAGTATTTAAATGTTGAATTTTAAATTGATAAATTGTATGACAACAAAATGTTGCAAAAATTATTGTTATTAAACAAATAAATAAACGCCAAAAATAATATAAAAATGAATGATGACAAAAAATTGATGATGATGATGATTTTGATGAAGAATTTGTTGAATAACGACGAAGATGAACAATTGTATGTGGAGAATTTATTACCATTGTTGATGATTCATTATCATTTGAAAATGCTGGATTTTTTAAACCATCTTTAAGAATTAATTGATCAGATGATATATTTGGAATTGAATAAAATTTTTCACATGAATGACGATGAGAATTTATTGTAGACATAAAACTAAAATGAACAGGAAGGAAATGAAGTTCATGGTTGATTTTATTTTTATTTCGTTTGTTCATATGATGAATAAGAGATAGGAAAGAAAAAAAAAAAAAAAAAAAAGTTACATATACGAATATGAGAGTTGTGTAAGATTTTTTTAACAGATGCTCATAAAAGATAAATATGCGTATATATATATATATATGTATATATATTGTCCGTTCGTCTATACTCTCATGATCGCATTTATCATCATCATCATCGTCGAGCCGTATGAAAGAGTTGTATAATAAACGAGTCCATATATATACATCCACACCCACATGTGTCCATCATTCACAATGAATTTTGATCAACAGATAGTCAATGAAAATGATGCAAGCAATACCGATTTTACTATTTTGCTCTGTAATTGTCTCTGTAAATGTGTCTATACTATGAGTGATTGTAAATTCGAAAATAATGATATCATCGAGCCTCAATGTGTCTCGCCACCTACTTTAATTGGGGACACTGTAATGTAATCCATCATCATTGACCATATCATGCACGAGAATATCTTTTCTTTCGGTTCGCTTTTTTTTTTTTTTTTTTTTGAGCTCTTCTTTTATAAATAATAAACCGTTCAACTACAGTCACTAATTCTTTTTTATACGACAAAAACTAATAAAGTGAGATTTAATTTGACAAGGTATGTTCAAAGATATACAATTGATATTTTTACAAATGAATCAAAAAATAATTTCAAATAGATATCAACAAAAACAAATGATGAAGATTAATGAAAATCTATTGACTTACTTTTTATTGGTAATTAAATTTTTATCTTTATCTCGTAATCGACATAGAAAATGAAAACTTGAATGAAATAAAAATATTAATATTGCCAAACAAATAAAAATAATACCAATAATCGATTGAACACCACGATTATTCACTAAAATAAGAATATGAATATCATATTAGAGAAAAAGAATAATTAAAAAAAAAAGAAAAAGAAAATGAAGAAGTCATCTTTTTTCAATTTGTCAAATGTCAAAGTTCGAATGGATAAAAGTTCATAATGATCTTTTGTACACAAAACAAAACAGACAATCCATTATTATCCTTTTTGAATAATGGATGACGTTACTTTTTGTCATATATATATATATATACATTAAAACATTTTCATATTGTCTCTATGCTTTCTCTTCTTTCGTTTCATTTCTTATCATATTTATCAATATTTAATTTTTTTCAATTGAATAGATAACTTCCTTGTTTGTTTCTTTTTTTTTCAATCAAGATCTATATTTCATTGATAGTCATAAGAATTGATTGACCATGCATATTCGCATGAGTTCAGGATTGAAACGATAAAACAGACAGATGAACTATTATTCATATGAGAAAGAAAGTGACCGTAACATCGTTTATCTTTATGCACATATGGCACATCAAAATGACCGTTTGACATTGAAATTTTTTTCATATGAATAGAAAATGTATTAAGAAAAAAATTTTATAAACTAAAGAAGCAATATGTATAATGTGATTTGAAACTTATTATTTATAAGAGTAAAAATGCTCGAGAATAATTTATTGTTATAACAAAAAATTTGATATGATCTTAGACAAAACTGAACAATGTAATTTTTCTTTATTGAACAAAAAAAAATGTTTTTATAATTCTTTAATAAAAGATATCGTGAATGATGTTCTGTACTTCAGCGTGAAGCATGAATTCGAATGCCGGACATAAAAAAAAAAAGATGTCGGTTTGAATTCGAATATGACCTCATACACAGACTCGACCCGGCAATTAATGGGATCTCGATGTTTCAAAATATTTTTACATTTTCAAACTGCTAATTTATAGAAAAGCATAGAAGTGGGTAATTTAATACATGAAAAAGAAAATGAATTATCACAATGGGAAAAAGCGCTTATGTATGTATCCATAATGCTGACGTTTGGCACCAATACTGCGTTTGATTCTAGCATTATTAGCACTAAACAAGTATATACTTAACGAAATTGATTGGATTTTAGAAGTAGAGAGACATCAAGTGAATCGCTTGCTTATTTTGTAGATAGACTAATTCATAAAAAATAAAACTTGGAAAGCCGTACTATGAAAGTACCTTCCGGATGTCGATTAGTTCCGATTCGGACTTGGGTATAAAAAAAACCTGTCGGTTCCGGTTAGAGTGCTCGACCTGGGGTTGCAGCAGTACTAAATTTGTTCATGGTTAATATGATTTTATTGTATTTTAAATTTTACTTGATAATAGAGATGTGAAGTTGACTATATTTATTTTGTTCAGTAGAATATATATTTCGATAATATATTTTTTTATTCGTGGAATATATAGATATTGAATGATTGATGAAATTTCAATATTTAGTAGATGAGTTATTTAGTATCGTAGTTTTTCATCTCGGTGACATAGGGACATCGAATGATTAAAGAAAGATTTTTTTTAAAAGGATTTATTGATACGAACGAGATGATTTTTTTAAAATAAGATTGCGTTACACCGAATGTATGTCTTATAATTATGCTATTAGAGCATAATGTATGATTATAGGCACTAATGAAATTGAAAGTTAAACTTATTGTCTAAATAGTATAATTGATGATATATGACGTATAATCATTCTTGGTAAATTTGAAAGCGAATTTTTTTATTTCTGTTAGTTTTGCTATTTATATTAAAATTATCAAAATGGCCATGAAACGGACGACAAATCTTATCAAATAAAAACCCTAAAATGGCTCTAAAAATAAAAAAAAACTCACTCGATCTCTATAAGCAGTAAAAGACAAAAAGATCATTATACATTTTTTATTAGTTAATTCGCATATTTCAAAATGTTAAAAAAGTAGTCCTCATCGTAGAAAATATATTGCAAATTAAAAACTAAGAGTTCTCAGAAAAAATTCATTGACTCGAAAGAAAAAGTTATAAGTTCATCTGCAATAATTATTATATTCATTGAAAAATTTTAGGAAAATAAATCTATATCTTTACCAGACAAAATCTATTAAAATGATTCAACACTTTTAAATTCATAGTCGTCCTCTACAGACGTACGACACAGTTTTGCTGCATTTTCACCTTAAGACGAGCTATTAGCAACAAAATTCAAGAGAAGATTTTTAGATCTGGAATTTTGCCTGTCACAAAAGGTTGCTTTTCCTTACACTTTCTCAGCCATTGAATATATTAAGAAGGAAGTATACATGTCGCGAAAACCGACGTTTCTACTGCTTGATTTTTCTCTTATATCTTACTACATGAATATTTTTAAACTCTAAGAAAAATGTTATATTTCAGTCGAAACTGTGTCTTCATATTAATGATACCGCACTCAATTTCAGGCTTAATTATTTGTTAAAGATGGCGCCACAAGCATAGCCATTAGGATAAAAAGGGTAAAGTGTCACAACCTTTGATACAATATACTGTGACATATTAAAAGTAGGCCTCTGCGGTTCGCTGAACTGCGAAATAAAAGAGGTTGAACCGGAATTTTTTTTTTACTGATAACTAGAATCATTTAGTGTATAGGTGTAGAAGAAGAGACTACCAACAACCATAGCTGCACTCTTTCTTTTTTTTTGTTTTATTTTTTGAAGAAATTAATTTCTCAATAAAATGATTAATATCCAACAAGTTCAATAAAAGATAGAAATTTTTAAAAACATTCTCATTCGTTATTTGATATACTATCAATAAATCACCGGTACCAAAAGACACTTTTTAGGAACTGAAATTAAAACCGTTTTTGTTCCTTTTGTACGAACCGGAACCGTAGGGTTCTAATTCAAACCTTTGTAGTACCGGCCGGGATCATTTTTGACCCCACTCTCAAAAATTTAGAAAAATTTTGCTGTTTTTAGAAGCAACTAGCATCGCTTACGAATAGATATACATTGTTGAATCTTAAATGGAATACATTTGTTTTTCATATTATTACAACCTCTTGATACAAGACCATGTCTTCCGTATATAACAAATATATAATAAGAAAGGAAGATACAAAGCGGTGGCCACTTTGTATCTTTTATGGGATGATAGACATTGATGCTATAAACCCCCTGGTCGTCCAGAAGGCGAAAAATTCTCAATGGAATCAAAATAAAAAATCTCAACGTCGATTATTTCTGGAAGAATTAGAACTAGTTTTAGTATCGCATCTGTTGGATTTTCGCTCAAAAAACTCAAAAGTTTATTACCTATTGTCGGTTATCCTGTGATGAAGAAAAATCTATCAGAATCAAATGAAAATTCTACTCAAACAAAACGAAAACGGTGTTTGATTTGTGAACGTTCTGTGGACAAAAAAAAAACATCAACTCAATGTTGTAATTGTTCTGTGTTCGTTTATAATGAGCATTCTCTTAAACATATTTTTGGTATTACTTGTTCTAAATAAAGAATATCATTTTAATAATTTTTCTATCAGGTCGAATATGAAAATAGCATATTTCATCAGAAGACTGATCCAAAAGTAAAAAAATTATTTTATAAAAACATATACTGCCAGTATAGTGCTTAAAAAAGATCGGTACTAATGTCCATTTCAGAGATAAATGGCCGTGGGTATTTTTCGAATAACTTTTAATAGGAATGAAATAGAGACCTGCGGTTTTCACCGTTGGAAAGAGCAGATGAAAATGCATCGAACCATATGTAGAAATAGTTTTCTAACGACTTTCCTGAAGGTTTTACGTAAAACTTCAAGAAAAACGGCATGCCTCTCATGATTGCGATATGAATTTATTGACTTTCAGGAGTGTGCTAGAACCGCAAAATGAAGAGCTACAAAAAACTATGGAAAGGCTCTATTCCTAACTACTATCAATACGATATTCTAGCCGTTGGAGTGCAATTCACCACCCAGTTTTTCAACAAAATAGTCGAAAAATGGAGGTTTTTTGTGATATTTCGATATAAAAATCACTTTTTTAACGTAGGAGAAAAATGCAATTCTTTGAAAACGTTTGACTAAAACCTTTAGGAAAGTCGTTAGAAGACTCTTTCTATATATGGTTCGATGCATTTTCATCTGCTCTTTCCAACGGTGAAAACCGCAGGTCTTTATCTCGTTCCAATCAAAAGTTATTCGAAAAATACCCACGGCCATTTATCTCTGAAATGGACATTACAAGGGTTAATTTAATAGAAAATTAAAACAAACTCCATGAAAAAGAAATAAACCGTTCGAACCGTCGGTTTTGATGAAAAATTAACGACATTGGCAATTGAAACTATCCATATGAGAAGTAGATATTTTCTTTTTTCGTACTCTTACCGAATATGAGTTCAGCAATGTTATACAAAAACTAGTTGCATTTTATCTAATTTTCTATTGTTATTTTTTCCAAAAAAAAACAAAAACAAAACTTACATTGATCACAATATTCACCAGTATACATAAAATTGCATATACATTTATATTTAGTAATTAAATTTTGACATTGTCCATGCGGACCACAACGTGTATTATTATAACAACTATTTATTTCTATAAAAAAAATTAATTATAAACAATAAAAATAAATTTAAAATTATTAATAACTTACTCATTTTACAAATATAATGATTAGTTCGTCGTTCTAAACGAAATTTTTCTTCTAATGATATACGTCGTGTAGCTTTACTTATATCAATAATTAAACATATATTTCTTGGTGGTATATCAGATAATGGTTTATATATTAATGAATAATCATTTATATTTCCAACGGATAGAAATTGTTGTTCACCCTTTCTTTGTTGTAAATTTAATACTAAAGAAAAGGAAAAATTTTATTTTTTTTCAATGAATAAAACTTCCACTCACCATATTTTCCTATAGTAAAATTAACAGCAATACGAGGACTATCAAATGATTGAGTTTGTTCATATATACGACCAAGAACATAATCAAATTCATTAACTGTTTCTATATCCCAAAGTTCAGCTTGTAATAAACGACAACGATTAGAAGCTTTAAAAAAAAAAAAAAGAGAATTCAAATATGTTTTTAAACATATTCTCAACATTTTATTGGTACTCGAAATATTCTATTATCCGTTTCAAAATATAAGAGCCGTGA